GGCATGGCCGGGGTGCTGAGCAGGGCCCACGGGGGGATTTGAGCAGAGCCGGCTGGGAAGGGGCTTGTTCTGGGTTGGAAAATAAAAGGGCCAAAGCAGTTCAGTGAGATACCCCACTTTTTTTGCTCGTTTTCCTTGTTTTCTTCTTTCCCTTCGAGCTGGAGCTTCTGAACCCTTGAGCTGGGCAAAGCCCATGTGGGGCAGCCCCAGGGCTGGGACATGGGGACAAACACAATGCGGTGCCACCCCACCAGGTGCCTCGGGGTCACAGCCCACCTGGGTGGAAACCAGCAGCCCCAAATCCTGGCAGGATGGAGAGACTGGGCTTTGCACCCCTGGCTGGCAAGGCCTGACCTGGCTGTGTGACAGGGGCACAGTGCGGTCTGTCTGTCCTTTGTCTGTCCTGGCAGTCACTAAGTTGGCACTGCAGGTGCTCAGGTCCTCCACACACCTTGGATGTGATTCAGCATGGCTGGGAAGGGAGGGAGAGACCCAGCATGTGGGATGGTCCCTGGCATGGGATGGGGATGGAGGACGGTGGTGGAAAATGAAGAAGATGGAAAATAGGGATGAGGATGGAGAATGAAAATGGAGATGGAGGTTGGGGCTGGGGGATGGAGATGGTGGCTGGGGGTGGTGAGGAGGAAGGAGATGAGGAAGAGCATGGAGGATGAGTATGAGCACGGAGATTGGGGATGAGAGTGAAGATAGGGATGGAGGATGAGTATGGAGGATGGGGCACCTCTGAACTTTTCCAAAAGCTCTAATCCAGGCAGCAGGAAGTACCTGTGAGCTGAAAAGCTGGTTTGACCTCCCCAGGGTCCAAGGTGGTACGTGGGAAGAGGATCAGGATCCCAAAACATGTGGGTGAACAGCTTGTTAATATGAGAAGAGAGGGATTTGCTCAGGAGTTTCCCTAGCAGCTCCAGCCCATGGTGCCAGGGGGTTTGGGCCCTCCTGGGTGGCAGTAAGGGAATTTGGGAAGTGGGGATGGATGCCAGTGACTGTCCCCAGCTACATCCTGCAGCCCTTAGGAGTCCATGGAGACACAGCACTGGCCCCAAGACACCTCCTGTCCCTCTGGGCGAGGCGGCCGGGCAGCAGCTGCCAGTGATTGATGTTTTGTGGGTAATTACTGCAGATAATTAAATATTTAACCATCATCTTTATTATCAGGGTAGTGCCGAGCCAGGCAGGAAACCGCTGCCGTTTGGGCAGGGCCATGCTGGTAAATTTGGGGCTGGCAGAGCCGGGTGGTCCCCGTGTGGTGGCCGATGGACTGAGGTTGTTGTGGTGGTGGTGGTGGTCACTCTGTGTCCCTGAGCTGTCCCTTGCAAGTGCAGGTCATCTCTGGGGTCCTCCTTTGGGGATAGGGAGGGCACAGACCCAGCCTGGGGGACATGGGCTCCCTCTGTCCTGGTGTCTTGTCCCCATTGTCACCAGAGGTGTACGACTGGCTGTGTTTGCCACCCATGGCTGCCCTTGTTTAGAGCTGGGGGGGTTGTGGGTGGTTTTCCCATTCCTTTTTTTTCTTGGCCATGCTGTGGCTGAGGCAGGGGTTGGTGTCAGCTCTCACAGTGGATATTGCTCACAGCTGAGGAGACACCAGGTTGCAACACCATGTCCATCCCCAGTCCGGCTCCTCCTTCCTGGCCCCAGTTGCAGGGGGGAATTCTCCAGCCACATCCTTTTCATGGAGCGTTTCCTGGTGGATCTGCACGCTTCCCCTGCCATGCAGCCCTCTCCCACAGGTACCCATCCAGCTGCTGGTTTATCTTCATCTACCTCCCCAGCTCTCTATCTGACACTCTCTCAAGGTTTCTCAGCAATGAATTTATCCACTGCTGGGCTTGGGATAAAATTAATTCCCACCGGGGAAAAGCAAGCAGAGGCTGCTGCGGAAAGCAGCCTCTCCTTCCCCATCTCCTTCCCTGAGCCCCTCCGTGGGGGAAGGTTTCTCAGTGGGGACCTTACCCCATTCTTTAATTTCCTTCCTGGTTTTTGGCTCCATGTCCTGATGGAAGAAAGATGAAGAGGAGCTCCCAAGCTGTTTTTTTTTTTTTTCTGCAGCATCTCTCCCTTCTCTGGCCTGGGGCCACCCTGGGTTATGGAATGGTTTGGGATCAGGAGTCCCTCATGGGCAGGGAGGGTTGAGCAGGGCAGCTCTTTGTTGTGGGGCTCGAAATGTAGGTGCTGCAGGCAAGGGGGGACCGAGGGACCTTCCAGTCACTCTAACAGGGACAAACATCCAGGGATTGCAGAGCCCTGGCTGGCTCCTGCTGCACCAGCAGGATCTCCCCCGTGCCTCTGCAGAAATAAAGGCTGTTGGCTCCCTCTGTATGGTAGTGATGGGGAAAAAAATAAAAGGAAAAAAAGCTTTGTAATTAAGCACTCAGCTGCTGTCCTCCCTGGGCAGGCTTGTCAGGAGATAAATGACTGTGTGGGGCAGCCAGTGGCAATGGGAAAGCCAGGGATGTCCCTTGGAGATGCCACGGGGTGGGAGTTGCCTTCCAGCCAGGCTGGGACCTCCACCACCCAGGGGAGGGCTCTGAGGCTTTTTCTCTCCTGAAACAACAGAGAAACATCCTCAGAGCCCCTCACAAGCAATCTGTGTTCCCACCCAGGCTCTATCCCACCTGGCATGGCCATGGAAAGCTCTGAACAGCCTGGTGTCCTGCTGGAATGGCACAGCAGGAGTGGTGAGCCCTCCCTGGGCTCGAAATGGTGGGATCTGTCCATGGTCCCTCTGTCCTCCCTTCATGCCTGTGCTGGGTTGAGGGATCCCTCCTTCCCATCCTTCTTGGGCAGTGTGTGTCAGCCACCCAAGGGTTGGCTGCTTGCCACGGAGGAGACAATGTGCAGGCAACACCCATCCTTGGAAAAGCCTCTCCAGCAGGATCCCTGGGAGAGAAACATCCCAGAGAAGTGGCTGCTGGCAAAAGCTGCATCTTCAAGCCCAAATCCAGCTTGGAGAGCGAGGCAGGATGCTCTGCCTTCACTCCTGATGGTTTCTCTTTGTGTAGGGCTTTGCAGGAGGTTTGTGCACCCAGGTGGTGCCTCTGCAGCCTGGCCACGCTGGTAATTCAGGCAGCAGAGCTCCAGTGGGATCATCCCATACTGGGAAGAGGGCTGGAGCACTGGGCAGGGGAGCTGGGGCATGGCAGGACAAGGAGAGTGAGGAATGGGTGCTCAACCATGCGCCGATGACCCGCGGGCACTGAGACGGGGTTGTGTCTGGTTGATCCAGGAGTTTTGGGAGCATCTCCTCCCCCAGGCTTGGGGAGCATCAGCCAGAGCCTCGGCAGGCAGTGCTGTTTGGGAACGGCTGTCCTCTTCCAAGGGGTTATTTTTGGAGCCAAGTGAGGACACACTGACTGTGGTGGCGGAAGGAGGAGGCAGAGACACGTGAAGGTGAAGGAGCAGGGAGAAGGCAGCCGGTGGGGATCCTCATCTCCCCTTGCAGCTGGCACCAGGCCATAGTGAAGGGAGCCAGGTCATGGGCAGAGGGTGCCAGGCCATGGCCCAAGGGCATCAGCAGGCATTTGCTGGTTGGGCCAGACATCAGGATGTCCCATGGCTGCATCTGAACCAGCCAGTGCAGCTGCGGAATGCAAGGGGATATCTGAGGTCCATTCCTTTGCTGAGTGGGGACAGTGCCTGGGGTGTCCCCAGAGAGCTGTGAGGATGGTTGCCTATCCCTGCTCCAAACCCACACTGGCTGACAGTGGGGTCTGTGGGGCTCAGAAGGACCCCTGCCCACCTATCCTGCTGCTGCTGTATAGTCCTGGGTCCCACACTTTGCCAGGTTTTTTCCATACAAGGCTGGCAGAACATCCTTCTCTCTTTCCCATGAGTCAGCCCTCTTGGCAGGGTGATGGGAGTAACCTCAGCCTTGCCTTTGTGGGTGAGGAAACTGAGGCAAGGCACAAGAAGATCTCCCAGTCACTGTCCCCACCAACCTGCTTTTGAGACAAATTTTGCCTTCAGGTCCTGGCAGGGTCCCTTTGCCCTCACGGGGTGGGAGGGGAACCAGGGCAAGGACTGACCCCTGACTCTTTCTCTCCCTCCCAGGTGATCATGGCTCTCTACAACAATGGGGCCGATGTGCCTTCGCCCCAGGAAGCCTCCAACGGCTTCTCCCAGCCCGGCGCCTCAGGAACGTGGCACAAGGGTGAGGAGGAGGTGAGGCTGGTGGAGCCCAGCATGGTGAAGAAGGCTCACCGGGAAATCCTGGACCACGAGCGCAAGCGGCGGGTGGAGCTGAAGTGCATGGAGCTGCAGGAGATGATGGAGGAGCAGGGGTGAGTGGCGGGGGAACTGGGAATGGGGTCCTTGTGACCTGCTTGCACCTTGTGCTTCCCCTTTAAAAAAATACCTGGATGTGGCAAATGTGCCCATTTGGAAGTAAATCCACTTTTGGGTGAATCGAACAGCTTTGGGGTGAACTGGTGGGTTGGCAGGGGGGAGGGAAATGCCTCCAAGAAACTCAGGCCTAGGAGTGCACCCACACCTATTGGAGGTTGGCCCCTCTGCTTGGAAATCTGGGCTCCCAGCTTGTCATGCAGGGAAAGCCAAGGCAGGAAGGAGGAGCAAAGTTGCTCGTGGTTGTGCAAGTCATCAGTGCCACCCATCCTGTGCCCCCCATGCCTGGAGTGGGAGATGATCTGCCTCTGCCTTTTGTGTTGGGGAGATGAAGGAGATGAGGGGTTTAGTGCCAGGAAAGGCTCTTTTGGTGCTTTTTTTTGTCCCACCTTCCTTCTTCTTCCAGTTTTGGGGTGGTAGGACCCCCTCTGTCCTGCCAATGCCACGGCCAGGCACCACAAGCTTCTCCCCAGCCTTTGCTCTCCCCTTGGGAAGCAAAGGATTGGGGGAATATGCAAGGGGCTGGAGAACATTCCTGCCTGGGTGGGCAGGAGAGGCTGGGGGGCCAGTGAGGAGATCCTCATCCCTACCAGATGGACCCATGGCTATGCTGCTGGCTGCCCCATAGCTCTGGCACCAGTCAAACATCCTGCTCCCCCTGACAACTCACTAAAACCTGATGGATGGAGCAAATTCTTTGGCACACGTGGGTAGATGAGGACTGGTACCAGCTGGGGAGAAGGAAAATGGATTGAGGGAAGGCTTCGCCAAGGCTTTCATTAAGAGTGCAAGCGTGACCTAGAATTAAATTGTCTCACACAGACTGGGATAATGATTGTGCCTAATTTGTCATTATGGAAATAAATAAGGCTGACCTGGCGCTTTGGGGAGCCCAGAGCCTCCTGTCGGGTTCCCCCACTCTACTAGGGCTCTTACTACTGGTAGTATCATTACTACAGTGGGTAAGAGCAACACTGCAACTGGTATTGTTGTTATTGCTGTAATTGCTTTGCTGTTATTAAGGCTATTAATAACGATGATGGTGGCGATACGCCGAAATGATAACATAATTACAGTAATAATCTTGGTCAACCTGGTTAATCCTCTCCCTGCTCTTCCCCTCCATGTAGGGGTTCTCTGGGAGGGTTCCATGGGAAGCACTCTGCACCTCCAAGGTTTCTATCTGGCCTGGGAGCTGCATCCTGAGCATAGCCTAGGGGGAGTTGTTGACAGGGACAGGGCCCCCGGGATGGATGTGAGTGTCAGCAGAGGGGGTTTTGCAGGGATTTAAGCACTCCCTTGTTTCCTTAAAGGCGGATGGCTCCTCCTGCCTGCGCTGTAGCTCGCTCCAGGCTGCCTGCACCGTTATTCCCTGCCTGCAGGCTGGATTCCTTGTCCGGAAAAGAAGTGTCAGCATTTTTTCTTTCTTTCCCAAACCCACTCTATATGTTAAATGCAAAAGCAAAACCCCTTTAACGAGGTTATAAGCAGCACCAGAGGAATGCAGGAGGGAAGGAGCTGGAGAAGGCACTGGAGGTGCTGGGGGGTGCCTCACCCTGGCCTCCCCCCGCAGATTTGCTAAAGGCCCAGCCATGATGGCCCATCTGTCACCTCCTGTTTGGCCTCATGTCCCCTCTCCGAGAGCATCAGCCGCATTCTTAATATGCTGCAGCAAATGCTCATCCTGGGCAGACATGTTCCTGCTGCCATGGGCCAACTGATGGCCATGGGATGGCCGTGGGATGGCCGGGATTGGTGTCTCATCCTTGCGGGGTGATCACACCGTGCCCAGCTGGGTACACTGCCATTGAGGCTGTGGGACAGAGCAGCATCTGGGGGTAATGCCCTGTTTTTGGCTCCCCCCCCATGCCCAGGTACAAGGTGAGGGGAAGCAGCCAGGCTGCCTCCTTGCCCTGTTAGCAGCCCTCCTCCTGTGTGGAGTCCGGCTGGGCAATTAATGAGAGCCCTTCAGCGCAAATGAGCTTGTTAATATTAATTCCCCTCTTCTCTCTGTTCCCCTTCATGGGCACTGTGTGGGGGGGTGATACCACGTGCCCCTCTGCACCCAGGGCACCCAAGGGCACCCCCAGCATTGTGAGGGGCATTACTGTCCCCAGCATGGGCACTGTGAGGTGCCAGCCTTGGGGACCAGAGGGCTCAGTCAGGCTGTGATACCCAGTTTTCTGGTCTTGTAACAGCAATACTGATGGAATGTGATGGCAACGGTGGGTCATGACAGCCCTTGTAGAAGGGTGAGAACAAGGACACACACAGAGCCTGACCCCTTCCCTCCCAGTGTGGCAGCGTGGTGGTCACACAGGGTCCCTCTCTCTTTGCCCTGTCCTCAGGGATGATGCCAGGAGCATCATGGGTCTCTCCACGACATCCCTCCATCAGGATGTTTTCACTCGAGGAAGTTGGGATGTTTGTAGTCAGGGAGAATGTCAGGTGCCCTTGTGCACCCGTGGGATGCAGCACAGGACCACCCGCCCAGGGCTGTCACCCTTCCCTTCCCAGGGACACCTTGGGGATGGCTGGAGTGCCGTGGTTTGCCGAGTCTGTTCCCAGATGCCAGGGACAAAGTGATTAGTGCCTCTCGTTAATAAGCCTGCAGTGGCCTGAGTCAGCGTTCAGCGTTAGCGCAGAGCTGGCTCGGCTGCTGGGCCCCGGCACAGCGCAGGGATGAGAGAGGGAAACTCGTGGTGGGATGGAGACCCTGGGATTGAACCCCTGGCACTGCTGAGAGGGTGTGGCAGCATGTGCCTAAAGCCTGGGACAGTAATGGGGAATGGCAACCTCATGGTCATCCTCTTCTTTTACCTCTTTCTGATGTCCCTTCCTCTGCCAAGCACTTCTGGGAGGGGCAGGCAGGAGAGAGGAGGGCATAGAGGGTGGTGGCAGGGGGCCAAACAGAGATCCCGCTCTCCTCCAAGCCCTGATGACTGTCACCATGCCACATCTCCTTCTGACCAGCAGCTCCGTGGGGAGCCCACGCTCCAGCCATGGCAGCCCTGACCATGTCTTTGCCCATCCAGGTACTCTGAAGAGGAGATCCGGCAGAAAGTGGGGACCTTTCGGCAAATGCTGATGGAGAAGGAAGGTGTGCTCACCAGGGAGGACCAGCATGGGCGCCAAATGTGAGTGAGAGAGCTCCCAGTTGGCTCATCTGTGCGTCCTTCCTGTCTCTCATCCCAGAGAGGCCTCTCCCGGGTGGCAATGGCTCAGCAGGTTGGCTGCTGTTCTGTAACCCTAGAAATATTACTGTTATCAGTAATAATAATTAATAGTAATGATAATAATTTCTGTTGTAAGGGGCCCAGGCTGGACAGGCAGGGCTGAGCCTGCCCCTCCTCTGGACAGACCCAGAGCCTGTGTCTCCATCAGGCTGGTGTAACCCCAAGAAGCCCCAAGAAAGAAGCTTCTCCAAGGAGCTCCTGCCCTGTTCCTCTGCCTTCTAATCATTCTTCATGCTGCCTGGTCCTGGGGGCCTCCATCTGCCCTGAGAGGGGTTTGGAGCTCAGGTTTGGTGTCCAAAGCAGCCCAGCTGCTGCTGGGAACGTGCCAATTGCTCCTCCTGCCCCACACAGGACTGTCCCCAGCCTCACCAGGGTCCGCCCCGGCTCAATGATGATTTATCTGCACGATGCTTAATGGCCCAGGCAGCGTGGCTGGCCTGGCATGCACCATCCATCAGCCTGGAAACCAGGTCACTTGGGACAGGAATAGAGAGTGCAGGTTCACTGAATATTAATGCTTCATTAGGGTCAGGAAATCAGGGCGGGGGGGGGGAGGCAGGGAAGCCGTGGTGGCAGGGAGAGCCTTCCTCACACCAGTCCACTGGCACAGCAGGCAGGGACAGACACAGAGACAGACACATGGACATGGCTCTGCTGTGCCCTGCCTGGGATGGGCTGCATGGCCTTGGGGCAGCGTGAAGCATTCAGAGTCCTTCTCCAGGCAGGAAAAAACCAATGGATGGGGAAAACCAACCCGCCCAGGTCACAGAGCATCAAGCCTGAGGTGTTAACAAGTGGCCTTTGCTGGTGGGGGCAGGAGTCATCTCCAGGGCATCTTCCTGGCAGGCTCGTTAGGGCTGGCATGGTAAGGAGCACCTGGGAAGCTGAGGGTGTGTTAAGGTTACCCAGGCAGCCCTGGCTGTCACCTTTACAGGCTTGGTTTTGCAAAACGAAGGGTAATCATTAAAGATTAGCCCCAGGGCTATAAATAATAGTGCTGAGCTGGAAGGAGCAGTCTCACAGCAAAGGATTGCTCGGAGGAGAGCAAAGCCGGAGGTGCTTGAAGGAGGATGGTAGGAGCTGGGTTCAAAGGAGGTGGCTCTTCAAGCAGCAGGAGGATGTCCTGGGTGCCAAAGGTCTCTGAGAGATCAAGAGGCTGGACAAGGGAGTTAAATAAGCTTTAAATAAGGAGCCTCATCCCTTGTGGTGGCTGGGAGAGTGCTCAGCAGAACAGCTCGTGGGCTGGTCCTGCTCCAGCACCGCTCTGGGCTTTTACATCTTGGTCCTTGGCTGCCGGGGCTGTGAGTCTCAACCAGCTGATCTCATTTCAAAGCTGAGGTGAGAGCTCAGCATCATCTGCATAGCTCCCCAGGGGAGACTGAGGCACTGAGCAAAAGCCATGACCACCTGAGTCCCTGGCTTTGCTCTCTGCACTCTCCCAGCTCCCGTCTCCATGTGCACAGCCCGGTGATACAGCCCAGTCCCCAAGGAGAACTGCTTGATGGACAGGCTGGTGGGATTACAGACAAAGGCAAGCGTGTGCCGGGCAGGGAGGGATAATTGGAGCAGCACAAGCTGGTCTTGAGCCGCTGAGCACAGCTAATGGGTGAGATGCTGGCAGCAGGCTCTGGTGTGGAGCACTGCCTGCTCGCAGAGCAGAGACACACAGGGAATTATCCCCGCTCGCTTCTCTCTTTTCCTCCTTCCCCCCCACTTCCCATGGTTGGGTGGGTGTTTGAAAGGCTGCTCCTGCCCTTGGGGCATGGCCAAAGCAGGAGTCACTTGGAGAGGACCCAGAAAGCCATGGCTGCAGTGCAGAGGGGAGCCCGAGACCCGCTTGAGCGATCGCCTGTGATTAGGAGGAGGAGGGTGCCTCGTGCGTAGTTTCGCTCCAAGACATTTTTAATTGGGTTAAACAACCCGTGGCCTGCCTGTGGCCAAGGATGCCAACACGTGCTGCTCTCAGATTTGGTCTGGGGCTGAGGGCATCCATTCACTCAGGCAGTGTCCAGGCTGCCAAGGGACTGATGCTGCAGGGGCTGCACTTCTCCACCAGTGTCCCTGGCTGCACACCTCCAGGATGGGAGGGGTGGAGCAGCAAATCAGGTTTCCGAGGGCAAATCTCCCTTGGGAAGCAAACACCTGGGCTGGTTTGGTACTGAGCACCCTCCAGGCATGGCCCCATCCATTACGGTTCCCTCCGGAGCATCTGGATGGCCACATCCCTCCCTGGGTGACATGTCCTACATCCCCCCAAGAGCAAAGGAGAGGCTCCCCGTGGGGTTTGATGCTGCTCCTGGATGGCACAGCTGGACCAGGGAGGTGGAGATAACAGGGAGAGATTGGGCAGGGGCTCCTAGGACCCTCCTAGTCCAGCTGCCAGACCTCTGCCAAGCCCTGCCCACAGCCCCAGTAGTCAATGGCAACCTCACGCTGGTTTCCATGGCAGTGGGAAAAATTAATGCTGATGAAGTCACTCAGGAGGGAGAGGAGACCCTGATGGCTCAAAGTATGATCCCCCCCCCTCTCACCTGGCCAGGTGGGGACATCAACCATCAGCTGCCTGAAGCTCCTGTGCTGAGCAGGTGGCACCCTGGGGCACCAGCCTCAAAGCCCAGATTATCCTGGGCAGCTCCCAGCTGAGTTCCCAAGTTTCCTGCCAGCTCCTCTTACCCTTATCCAACCCCCCCTGGGCCGATCCAGCCTCCAGCTCAGCCCCAGCACTTGGACAATCACAAAAGGGGCTCCCAACGCTGCCAAGGCTGGATCCTGCAAGGAGAAGGTGGCCCGAGCCTTGTGGTGTCCCTGTGCCAGCCCCGTGGGGATCTCTGCAGGGACTGGAGCCCCAGGAAGACCCTGAGAAGACCCCCACCACGGGGCTTTGCTGTGTGGGGACCTCAAGGGATGTGACCAAGTCCCCTGGGGATGCTGTGTTGGAGGGGATGTCCCCCAGCCGCTGCAGCTGCATTGGGGCTGCCCCAGGCTTCCCCCCAGCCGGTGGAAGACAGGGAATGGGGATCCCCGAATTAATCCCGCGCTTCCTCCTTTGGCAGCGTGATAGAAAACCACCACGGGGCGGACGGGGAGGAGTACTCGGTGGAGTATCCCGACTACGGCGAGGGCTGCCTGCTGCAGTGCGACTGCTCGGCCGAGTGCTACCGCGAGGACAGCGGCCACCGCGAGTACAGGTCGGCGGGGATTTCGGGAATCGGGCGTGCACGGTATCCCCGTGCGGGGATACAGAGGCCGGGGAGCTGGTCCCTTCTTCCCCCGACCCTGTATGCTGTCTCCCACAGGCTGAAAAGGCGCTCGAGTAGCTCTACCTCTCCTCCCCCCAAGAAGAAAAAGAAGAAGAAATCAGGTCACCGCCGGAGCCGGTGAGTCTTCGGCTCTCCCTGCGCTGTCCCCTCTCCCAGGAGGGCAGCTCTGCTCCCAGCTCAGCCTTTCCCCAGGCTCTGACGGGGCAAGTTCTCCCACTTTGGTGGTCAGTGCCCCTCCAAATATGCACCCTTAAGAGGTGCAATGCATCTGCATGTGCTGATATTGCAACACGCACACGTGTGCACGCACCTCCTGCATGCACTGGTCCGTGTGGGGAAGGAGCTGGCTGCTGCAGGGCACAGCACCGGGCAGGATTTGGCTCTGTGAAGGGTCTGGCTCCACCTACCCCCTGGTCCCCTCCCTGGCTAGCACTGGCTGCCTGGGCAGATGCTGTCCCTAATGTCCCTTTTTTCTCTGCCTTTCCCATGGCAGCAAAAAGAGGAAACCTGGCTCGGAGCGCAGGTGAGTGTTCACTGGGCTGGGTGGGCTGTGAGGTTCCTACTGGGATTGCAAGCCCGGGGGCATGGGCTGGCCTCCACAACCCACTGTCCCCCTCTGAAATCCCAGTGGGAATTGGTCACTTTGTCTCCTGCTGGAGGCTGTGGAGCCCACGAGGTGGCAATGAGACACAGCAGGATTTGAGCAGTCTGGCATCAAAGGCATCCAGAGCCCTTCCGCCAGAAGTCCCTTTCTGTCACCAACCCCAAATCCCCCAGGAAATAACTTCCATGAGATGTTTGTGCATCCCGTGGGGTGGTCCAGGGAAGTGGGGGGGCATTGGGAGTGGGACTCCCCTGGGCCACAGGGATGGGGCTGGGGAGTCCCTTGCTTGTCCCTCAAGGGCACCCACTTCCCCCCAGCTGTGACAGCTCTTCACCCATCCGCAAGGAAAAGAAAAAGAAGACTGGAAAGAAACACAGACGTGACAGGTAGGATGGACACCGTGGCAGGCTGGGGACACCAGGCATGACTGGGGTCCATGGGGCTGTTTGGTGACTGCCCAAGCCCTTGGGCTGGGGTGGGATTGAGGCATGGATAGGGATGGATGCTGATGACTCTTTATGAAGCCATCACCACTTCACAGCTGCTGTCACCTGCCCAATTCAGCAGCCCATCTTGGGGCAACACCCTTGTCCTTGTCCCCATCCCCTGGGGCTGCCCAGCTGACCAGGTCAGTGTGTCTCCTTCACCTCTGCCTCTTCTTCATCCCTCAGATCTGAGTCAGGGTCACGGAAGAAGAGAAGACACAGGTAAGAGTGATGTCTGCAAGGAGCCACCCCACTGCCACTGGTGCTGGCTGTCAGCTTCCCCTGCCAGAGACCCTCTGTTCCCTGCCTTCCTGCCATCCTCCTCCCCTCTGCTCACAGTAATGGACCCCCTCATCCCATGGCTGGACACTGCTGTGTGTCCTCCACCCTTGGGCATGGCACAGGGCCACTCTGGGTGACTGTGGGGTCCCACATGGCCCCTAATGTCCCCTAGGGAAGAAAGGGGGATTCCAGGCAGCCATGGCCAGGACAAACCCTGGCTGTTGCCCTACTCTGCAGATGCCTTCTGGCAGCACTGCTGTTCTAGGGTGAAAGAAGTGAAAAACAGACAAAGGGTGTCTGGGAAAGCAGAGGGTCTCAGAGGGGACTGATGTAGGACGAGGCAAGTATAGGGTGACAACGGGCCCAAGCCCAGAGGATGCTGAGCAGAGCCAGCCCCCCTTCCCACTGCCACCCGCTCCTGCCTGGCCTCACCAGTGGGCACCTGACCCCATGGTCCTCCCAGCGCCATCTGGGATCCCCACCGTGCTTTGAATCTCAATGAATTCCAGCTCCAGACCATGCAGGTTCTTCCTCTCGCTCCTCCTGCGGCCTCGGTGCCTCTGGGGGAGGCTG